GAGGCGCGCGAACGCGCCTCGAGCTTGTACATATACGGGCCGAATCAGGACGCGACCGAGGAGGAACTGGAGGAGTTAGCCTCGAGGGTCGAGCAGGTCCTCGACGAAGCGAAGAAATTCTCAGGAAGCACTAAGGCGCGGTACCAAGCTAGCCAGCAGCTGGTCCCCAGCGATCTTGCTCAACATTTGACAGCTTTGGAGCTCTGCGCCGAAGCGACGGCTCAAGCGATGGAGGAGAAACAGAGGGATCAAAAACGTGCCAGAACCGTCAGGTCGGATTATCTGACCGACCTGGACGAGGTTCAGGCGTGGATAAGGCAGGCGGAACTAAAGGTTCAGGACAGATCGATCGAGCCGATCCCTCTGAAGGAGCAATTGAAGCAGGTGCAAGACGAGCTGGGCACCATCAGCGACAAGCTCGAACGACTAACGAGAAATGGCCGCACCATCGGCGAGAACACGAGAGACGAGACCGAGAAACAATTAATCGACAGCACCGTTCACAATGTTACCGAACAGTTGAACCAAGTGCGAACGTGGCTGGATGACAGGAAACAGGTCGTGGCTGATACTATCGACGCTTGGCAGAGATTCTTGACGTTGTACGAAGCGGTGAAGACGTGGACCGAAGAGAAGAGACAGTTCCTAGTTGAGCCCTTGAAGCTCAGCACCCTTGTGCAGGCCAGGCAGAGGCTGCACGAGTACTCGGTACGTCTGGACCGTTGTCTTGGTGCTTGGAAGATGATGGAACGTGGACTTTCTGACTTTGGGCTGAGATATTTATTAATCTTTGCTATGAGTACAGTAGACGTTGCTACGACAAGAATATAGGTAGTCGGAGCTACATAGGCTGGAGTTAATGAGGCATTGAGAAATGCTTGAGGAAAGACTTGAGGACACTGTAGGTACTGATAGGTGCAAGATAGGGTTGGAAATCTAAGTGCTGTATCGTAATGTTGCTAATATAATGAAACTCTACTGTACTTAAATAATTTCCAAAGGATATGAAGCTCACGTTTCATCATCATCCAGTCAAGATCATCGATCAGAACTCCATCGACGAAACTAATCCGTGAACTTATTGATCGCAGACAGCCGTAAAGAGCTGCAAACAAATAAACAAGAATCTCAGCGACATGGGAAAAGAGCTCGAAAGTATCGGTCAGGTATGCAACGTGGGCGACTTGCCCGAGAAATTGTTGGAAGCCGAAGAAGCGAAGGTTCAAGTGGAGGGTCAACTATTAGAAAGGGTTGGTTACGATTATAGTTAGGGAAGCGTCGTGCGTAAGATGTGTACATCGTTTGCCTTTTCAGAACGCGCTGCTGCAAGAAACTAGCGAGGAATGGGAGCAATGCGAACGAAAATTAAAAGAAGCGAGAACGTGGATCGAGAAAGCGAAACAAAGTCTCGAGTCGCAGCAGAATAAAAAGAAACCGTTGAGGGATCAGCACAGTATGCGGGAGAAAATGCTTAGCGATATAGCGATACAGAAAACGAAAATCACAATATCGATGGAGAAGCTACAGGTTCACTTCCGATCGGGTATCGGTGGTGATAGCCGAATCGGCGAGACGGTAGACGAATTATTGGCCGAGTTAGACAACCTTAATACCACCGTGAAAGAACAGACGACATCGTTAGAGGCTTGTTTAGCGCAGATCGATCAATATCAACAGGTTAGAGGAGTGTACAGACTGTCGACGATCAAATCCATTCTTTCTTTGCTCTCGACTCGAGCTGTATTCTTTCGAAACGCGATTACTGATCCGATTTCTAATATTATTTAGAAACTGTACCAATTATTTTCTGATTTTGAGTGCAATAGATTGAAGACTACTCGTCTCTCTTGAGGAGAGAGAAAAATAGGGGAGGAAAGTTACTGAGGGGGCGTTACTAAGGGGCGTGGCAGTTCGGACGTTGCCATGGGACAGCGCCACTAGTGGGCGTGGTAGTCGAATCATGGCGATGGTGGGGACTAGTGGCGTAAGAGTCTACGTGACAATATAACGAAACTCTACTGTATTTCTCAATCTTATAAACTTGCGAGGATAGTAATTGTTTTACTTATTGAAATCTCTAATTTCTAATAAGAAAGAAAGTGGTTTACACAGCTTTCCAGTAAAATAGAAAGGGATCAGTAATTGTTTCGATACGATTTCGGAAAGAATACGGCTGACGTCTATTTGTAATTCTAGGAGATACAACAGTTGAGGCAACAGATTATGCAGGTGGAGCAGCAACTGAGGACAGTGTTGAGCCCGACATACCTGTCCAGCGACAAGGAGAAAGCTTTACAGGAGCAACAGGTAGGTCTGCCTTGATCCCACCTTTTCATCACCTGCACAAGTGCGCTAAAGCAGCAAGTTGAGTTTTTTGCATTTGCTCGATACCAACTGAAAACCACCACCAGGATACGTCGCGTTTCGCCCCTTTGAATCGACGTCTCTCATGTTCGCGGTTAGAGGGGTTTTTGCCCTCTAGTCTCGCGTTTCTTTCTGTCTGCTCTCGAGACGAATCGTGCTTGTATCTTCGTAATCTCCACGTGACTAACAATTAACCGTCGATCGAGCACATTAATCCTTTAATCTCGCAATACTAACAGTATCTTAAAAATGAAGATCTTTTAGTAAGAAATAATAGGGGTATTGCGAGGATTAGTTAAAATTTGAATCGATTTTTTTGTCAGCTCGAGGCATAAAGGATCGATAAAAATTTTGTAACAAACTAATCAAAATTGGAAACATTTTGATTACCCAGTTTTTTATTGGGAGACAGAGGTCGATAGTTTTCAGTTATAATTTGAATCAAGGTGTTTCCTCGAAATCCTGTGATATAACAAACCTAATTTATCCAGGTTTCCTTCATTTTATGTAAATTTCCTCGTCGAAGCTTTTCAACTCACACAAAATTTTCATCTGACACTGTAACTCATCTAACAGTCACATGTCTCTCCTCTTTCACTCGTTCTATCTCTGTCTCTCTATCTGTCTCTTTCTCTTCCTATCTAGACTAATATATCTACTAATCACGCAGCTTTCAAAATTCGGAATGTCTCGATACTCTTTTAAGAAGGAAGATCATTCTTTCGCCGATACAGCGATCGAACGATCTGATCGAAGCATGCTATCATCGTGGTGGTACATCATGTTACGCGGTATTGGTTGGTATCATGCTCTAACTAAAGTTTTGTCAACACTATCTTTCTTTACATTCTTACGAGAAATCGATCGTGTCATTGCACTTTCGTTTTTCCTTATACGTCGTCAAATTCTTTGATTTCTATAAAAATTTGTGGACCTACAACAGGATACAAGATAATACTTCATTAGTGCTGTTTCTGTAGGGGTGCAAAAACCTACCTCAAAGTTAGGGATTCTTTTCAAATCTCATCTTATAGGCATTCCTTCACAACTTCAGAATTACAGTGTTTCAACTTCAATTTTATAGTTATAATCATTGTCAATACTTTACTACATAGTTTCATTTTTACAACTTCAAACATCAGCTACATTTTCAATTTTTGTCACAACTTCAGTAGTATTTACTCTGCAACACCCAATGTCAACTTCATTGCTTGACAACTTCTCAATATTACTGTTTATCACTGAACTTCAACTTCATTGTTTGACAACTTCCCAACATTACTTTTCATGACTGAATTTTAACTTCATTGTTTGACAACTTCTCAACATTACTGTTTATCACTGAACTTCAACTTCATTGCTTGACAACTTCTCAACATTACTGTTCATCACTGAACTTCAACTTCATTGTTTGACAAGTTCTCAACATTACTGTTCATGACTGGACTTCAACTTAATTGTTTGACAATTTCTCAACAGTACTGTTCATGACTGAACTTCAACTTCATTATTTGACAAGTTCTCAACATTACTGTCCATCACTGAACTTCAACTTCATTGTTTGGCAATTCCTCAACATTACTGCCCATCACTGAACTTCAACTTCATTATTTGACAAGTTCTCAACAATACTGTCCATCACTGAACTTCAACTTCATTGTTTGACAAATTCTCAACATTACTGTCCATCACTGAACTTCAACTTCATTGTTTGACAACTTCTGAACATCACTTTCATAACTGAACGTCAACTTTATTGTTTAACAACTGCTCAACATTACTGCTCAGTTATGAAAAGTAACGTTGAGAAGTTGTCAAACAATGAAGTTGAAGTTCAGTGATGAACAGTAATGTTGAGAAATTGTCAGACAATGAAGTTGATGTCCAGTTATGAAAGTGGAGTTCAGAAGTAGTCAAACAATGAAGTTGACGTTCAGTTGATGTTCGCCAACTTAATTTCTCATCATTACTGTTCATCACTGAACTTCAACTTCATTGTTTGATAATTACTCAATTTTACCTTTCACTACTGAACTTCAACATGTACTTGAACTTCAACTTCATAACTTTGACTCCAAAAATTGAACTTGACTATGAACTTCAACATAAACTTGAACTTCATAACTGTGTCTTCAAAAATTAAACTTGAATATAAACTTCAACAGGGACTTGAACTTCAACTTCATAACTTTGACTCCAAAAATTGAACTTGAATACGAACTTCAACATGTACTTGAACTTCAGCTTCATAAATTTGACTTCAAAAATTGATTTTGAATATCAACTTCACAACTTCCTAACTGAGAATATAATCATTTGAGGTTAGGTCTCGCAGCCTTGAAGTTGCGCACGAATGAAGTATACATTATTTGTATTATTGATTATGTAATTCATAAAGTTTTATGGAAATCATTAAGAGTTTACGACGTCTTCTCATTAGATATATCTCTTCTTTCCTGTCCGTGTACACCACTTTAACGACACCCATGTTGCTGTTCCGTGATGGGGATTACTTGATTTTGCTTGTTTTTTTCTTTTTCTTTGTGTAATTCACGTGTTCTCGTTCTTCTCTCGCCGTATCACCTGTGTATCATACATTACGAGACACAAACGAAACCGCGGGCTCCAGAAAGTAAAAATCGCACTCGGTGTCGTGGAAACGTTGAAGAGTAACCGAGAATAAAGTAGTATTGGCACAAATGTACACAACGAAATTGTCTTGCAAATGCGTGTCGTCACACACAGTTCTGTCACACACGATCACCGTAGGCTTTTAATCGATGAAAGATGAGCACGAGAGTAGCCAATATGCTTGTTTTTTTTCGTTCGAATGGAAAGAGATACCGTGTGATCGACAACGAACACGGAAACGGAAGATACGCAAGAAAATCAAGTGACCTCCAATAAAACGCGAAAAATGGCTCGTGAGAAAATACCATACGACGAACACGAGTCTACGATTATTACCCTGATATTTCTTTTCTCGCGTCTCGTTTTCTCTTCTATTGTGTTTGTTCATTTTTTTTTGTCTGTAATCCATCGCATCGGCTATTTGATTCACGAAATTTTATTTGCTACACCCTTACCCGTCATCCTTGTCAATCGATCCGTTCCACGCCCGTTTATCCACACGATTCTTTTTCGTCTTCGATCATCGTCTCTGCTTCGCCATCGTCGTCTGGTTCTGTTCTCGTTTGGTTCTCGCACCTTCCTTTTTTATTATTTTCGGATCTCTGTCTCTCTGAATTTCGTCGCGGCGAAATCTCCGCTTGGGTCCACCTCTCTCGCTCGCTCGGCGTGTTGTTGTCGTTGTCGTCCGACAGATTTATCGGGAGAAGATCAAGTCGTTGCAGAGCAAAATCCAAGCGCGTACCGAGAGGTCGAAGATTCTCGCTCAAAGAGGAACACCCGACCTAGAACCGCTGGAACCATGACCACTCTAGTCGATTAATTTAAATGGCGAATCGATTCGCGACATAGTATTGTTCCTTTGCGTAATGTCTTTTTCTCACCCGTGCTGAGTTCCACGGTTCCCGGCCGGAACGGAGACAACGTAATCGAAGAGACATCTTCCGTTGATCACGTTTGTCTTCATTCGCGGAGGGAATCGTTCGATTTTTAATACCTCAGGATCTTTTTTAGCGAACTTTATATGTATATGTCTATATATCGAGCAAATTTCCTATACGTGGTGTCTAATCGTAGAGAGCAGATCACGTCTACGGCTGTATCTGTTAAGAGATAATAAAGAGCCCTCTTTGTTGCGAATATCGAACGGTGTTACAGTAGACTCTTGTTATATTGCCATTTTATATTACTGTTTTTCATCGAATATGATATTAAATTCCATATGTCAACATTCTACTTGTTAGAATTCCACACGATGAGTCGCGTTAAAATTCCTCGCGATATATGGCCGATCGACGTTCATGTATCAAATCACCGTCACTATGCGTTAAGTAACCGCACATCATATGCTTCGAATTTCAAATCGTCGTATAATCTCATGTTAAATAGTCGCTTGAAAGAACGATGTGCGGCAATATAACGAGAGTCAACTGTATATAGTTTCTTCCTTCGCGTCACCATCGCTGATCATGTTAATCCGGCATACACGCATACTAAAACTCTAAAGAAAAGAAACCAGAATCCCGAAACACCTTAACACCTCTCTCTTCCCTAAAACAAACAAACAAAAAACAAACACATGGACTCCCAGAAAATTGACGTATGTGTATTCCATTGTTGTGCCTTGGCTGTTCCTCCGTGGCGGATAAAGCAGAGCCTGCAGCAAAGGATGGAGGATTGGAGGCAACGAAGCAAGATACTCCTGGATCAGATATACACCGTGGACCCGTACTATGTACAGACGAATGAGACCAGGATGATCAATCAAGTCTCGTACGCGGACATCGCAGCGGGTCGTACCAGTCCGAGTTCCAGGGGTTCTAGTCCCTTCAGAAACCCTAGGGACGAGACTACGACCCCTCTGTCTATTCAAGTCTTGCGACCGACCGCCCAATTATCGACCCAGAAACCGGTTGTCCGCGATAATTCGCCGTCTCGAGTGGCCAAAGAAGAACGACCTAAGGTCGAAGAATCGGTTGAACCCGAAGCGAAGACGGCTCATCAATCCAAGGTCGACTCCGTGGAGCCCAAGTACAGAGCTCAGAGTAGAAAAGGCACCTTCGTCAGGAAAGAAGCCGAAGTGGTCAAAGAGACGACACCCGAGAACGTCGAGTCTCCCAGATCGGTGAAGAGAGAACCAATCGAGCAAATTTCCTATACGTGGTGTCTAATCGTAGAGAGCAGATCACGTCTACGGCTGTATCTGTTAAGAGATAATAAAGAGCCCTCTTTGTTGCGAATATCGAACGGTGTTACAGTAGACTCTTGTTATATTGCCATTTTATATTACTGTTTTTCATCGAATATGATATTAAATTCCATATGTCAACATTCTACTTGTTAGAATTCCACACGATGAGTCGCGTTAAAATTCCTCGCGATATATGGCCGATCGACGTTCATGTATCAAATCACCGTCACTATGCGTTAAGTAACCGCACATCATATGCTTCGAATTTCAAATCGTCGTATAATCTCATGTTAAATAGTCGCTTGAAAGAACGATGTGCGGCAATATAACGAGAGTCAACTGTATATAGTTTCTTCCTTCGCGTCACCATCGCTGATCATGTTAATCCGGCATACACGCATACTAAAACTCTAAAGAAAAGAAACCAGAATCCCGAAACACCTTAACACCTCTCTCTTCCCTAAAACAAACAAACAAAAAACAAACACATGGACTCCCAGAAAATTGACGTATGTGTATTCCATTGTTGTGCCTTGGCTGTTCCTCCGTGGCGGATAAAGCAGAGCCTGCAGCAAAGGATGGAGGATTGGAGGCAACGAAGCAAGATACTCCTGGATCAGATATACACCGTGGACCCGTACTATGTACAGACGAATGAGACCAGGATGATCAATCAAGTCTCGTACGCGGACATCGCAGCGGGTCGTACCAGTCCGAGTTCCAGGGGTTCTAGTCCCTTCAGAAACCCTAGGGACGAGACTACGACCCCTCTGTCTATTCAAGTCTTGCGACCGACCGCCCAATTATCGACCCAGAAACCGGTTGTCCGCGATAATTCGCCGTCTCGAGTGGCCAAAGAAGAACGACCTAAGGTCGAAGAATCGGTTGAACCCGAAGCGAAGACGGCTCATCAATCCAAGGTCGACTCCGTGGAGCCCAAGTACAGAGCTCAGAGTAGAAAAGGCACCTTCGTCAGGAAAGAAGCCGAAGTGGTCAAAGAGACGACACCCGAGAACGTCGAGTCTCCCAGATCGGTGAAGAGAGAACCACTATCGCTCAAGAACACCTTGGCACCCAAAGAAGAGAGGAGAGGCAGGTCCGCCAGCCCCATCTGGGTACCTGGATCCACCTCCTACGCGGACATTCTTCGTGGAAGCAGGCAGACGTCCAGAAGCCCTTCGGTGGAGATCGGCAAGGACACTCGATCCATCAAAGACACTCTACCCGACAGCTCGGAAGTTGAGAAGGTTGAACTGAAGGTTCCTCGAGTCGAAGTGGAGGAACGAACAGAAGAAGTCGAGGAACCGAGTCCAGTAGAGAGTTATCAGGAACCTGAAGTTGTCCCTGAAGCGACTTCCGAGAAAGTTGAGACCAAGACCAGCTGGGCGGACGAGACCATGGAGGATTATGTACTGATGAACGAGACCAGCTACGAGAACGTGGCTAGGCCTCCGCAAGTTCCGGAGATGTACAATTACATCCACCCACCTATACCGGAACTGGTGGGCTTCATAGGCTCCCAGATAGCGTACCCGGTCAGCTCGTACGTGTACATGCCAGCCGCGCCTCAGCAAATCGCGTTGTCCCACTATCCGGAGAGCCAGATAGCCTTTCCTCAGGAGCACTTCGTTCAGCCTAGTTACGTACCGGAAACGGAGATCTATCAGCAAACTCAGTTCCCCAAACAGAGGCATCCGCCCAAGTTCAAGAATCCGGCTAAGTCTCCGGTAACGGAGAACATTGAAGAGAAGAGTTTACCTCAGCCACCGCCGGGTTTGGAGGTTCCTGTTCAGCCGGAAGCTGAACCTGAAAAGCCAGAACCGGAACAACCTGTGGCTGACACGGTTAAACAAAAGACGCCACCTAGCGAGAGCAAGACGTTCTCGTATGCTCAAATCTTGTCTCAAGGACTGAGTTCTCGAACTCCTATAACCAGTTCCTATTCTTCGACGACGACTAGTCTGACGAGGCAGGTGAAAGAACGGTCGGACTCGCCGGCTACTTCGACGTCTTCGGTGCATGAACAGAGTCCTCTTCAGGACGCGAGACAGGTGAGGGAATCTTCGATAACTAAACAGGAGAAGGAAGAGTGGGATACTACGAAGAAACGAGAAGGGAGGAAGACACATCAGGATGCACCGAAGTCGAGGATTCCTGAGAAGAGAGCTCGCAGAACACCTGAATTGGCTAAGGAAAAACTGCAGAAGGCTAAAGGTAATGTTGAACAGAAGCAAACACTTGAGACGAAGAGCAGAGAAACTTCTGTGGAAGGTTCACTAACGGAGAAGAGTGGAGTGGAAGTTAGGAAGGAGAAGCAAACTGTTGAAGAGAAGGAGGATAAACAGGAAAAATCGGAAGAGAAGGCTCAGCAAAAATCTCAGGAGAAGAAGCGAAAGCCGAAGAAGAAGAAAATGGAGAAAACGGTGGACGATGAGATTGAGAAGGCTCTGAAGGAGATTGAAGACATGGACAAACAGAAGAAGAGTCAAAGAGACAAGTCGAAAGAGGTCAGGGCTAAAGATACCACACCGGAGAAGCCTAAAGAAGAAAGCGAGAAGAAGAATGCGAAGAGCGGCGAGAAAAAGAAGAAACCGAAGGCTAAGGATGAGTCAATTGCTGACACTTCGGTGACTCAGTCTAAAGAGCAGATGAAAAAAGACGATAAGGAAAGAGACGTAAAGGAAAGCAGAGATTCGGAGAAGAAGAAGGATGACGTCAAGCCTAAAGAAGTCGTGAAAGGCGAAGTTCGAAAGACTGAGTCCGAAAATATTGACACGAAATCAGAATTAAAGGAAATCGAAGTGAAGAAGAGTGAAGCTAAAGAAGAGAAGAAGGAACCTTCGAAGAAGAAACAGAAAGGCAAAGCTAAAGACGCGAAAGCTGAAAGCGATTTTGAACAGATTAAAAAGTCTGAGGATAAAGTGAAGGAGACAGTGGCTATTAATAACGCTAGAAACATACAGGAACGGGAAGAAAAGAAAGTGGATGAAATAATTGAAAAAGCTAGTGAACCCAGAGCACCGAAAGATCAGGATAAATCTAAAGATGTCGCGAAGGAGAATGCAAAAGGTAAAAGCAAAAAGAAAGAGCCTAAGAAGCCTCAAGAAAAAGATAGCGAAGAGAAGAAAATAGAATTGAAATCCGAGGAAGCAGTGAAAGACAATAAAGAAGAATTGAAGACAGAGGTTGAAAAGGTACAGAAAGAGAATAAAGGCAAGAAAGGAAAGAAGGGTGATGAAGCGAGGAGAGGTCAGAAGAAAGATGAAGGCAAGTCTGAGGTTGAATCAAGAGACATTGAAGAAGAAAAAGCTGTGATGAGTGCACTGGATCGTGCAATAGAATCTGGAGTAGAAAAGAGCGAAGTTAGTGCGATCAAATCAGAAGTGCCAATCCAAAAGGCAGAAAAAGAGGAATTGAATAAGAAATCGGTGAAGGAGGACGCTAAGAAAACTGAGGCAGAGAAGCAAACTAAAACGAAGGATAAGAAGAAGTCTAAGAAAGATTCTGAGACTAGTCAGAAGACTCCTGAAACGAAACAAGTTCCTAAGGAAGATAAAGTTGAAGAGAAAATAACTGAAGAAAAACGTACTGCCACTACTACAGAACAGACAGTTGAAGAAACGAAGGAGAGCTCGAAACCAGAGCCTGTGATGCCAGAAAAGGATCAGTCAGAAAAGAAGAAGAAGAAAAATAAGAAATCCAAATCACCGATGAAAGAAAAGAAGGAAGAAACCTTGAAACCTGAGAATGAAGAATTAAAGAAGAAGGAGGTAGAACCGATAGTCAAATTGGAAGATACAGTTGCTGAAGACAAACAAGTAACTGTAAATGAAGAGAAGAAAGAAGTTGATGTAGTTCAAGTTGAAGAACAGATGAAGACAATGTCTGTATGTGAACGAAAAACTGAAGAGATTAAAAAGGAGACATTTGCAGAAGATGTAATTAGGAGTAAGGAAGATAAACCTTCTGACATTGAAGTTAGTGAAGTCATTGACTCTGCTATTCTTCCTGAAGTTCCAAAGGCAGAGACATCTCTGAAAGAAGACATAGATCAAGCACCGAAATCTCCTAAAGTGAAGAAACCAGGAAAATCGAAGGAAAAAGATATTTCTGAAGTTGAACCTAAAGAGGAAACCAAACCCAGTCAACCAGGTACACCGAAGGACAAGAAGAAGAAGAAGAAACAAGAGAAAAACGTAACTGAAGAAAAGACTGTTGATCAAAAGCTTGACACTCAAACTGAATCAGTGAAAGAGATCAAACCTGAAGCTGAAGAAGTTATTAAAGAAATTACAATTGAAGAAATACCACCGCCATCAGCAGTCCAAAGTCCAAAAGCTGAAGAAGAAACGGGTGCTATCGAGATTATCAGTGAACGCAAATCTCAGCCACCAGAGACGATTGAAAAATTAACTAAAGAAGAAGAAATGAACGAATCAAAGGGTTCAGAGTCGACTTCGCTCGATTCGACGACAGGCAAAGCATTGATCATCGAGAAGACGATCACGACAGTGACGACGACTACCAGCATCCCCGGCTCTGTCGCAGTGAAACCACCCGGTGTGAAATCCGTGAAATCCGTAGAGATCTTAGAAAGCATCCCCTTACCCAAGATCGTAGGCTCCAAACCCACCGAACTAATCACCCTGCGTCCCGAAACAGTAGAGGCTAGCCTAACCACCAGATATGCTAGGGTCGCGGACGATTCAGTTGGTATTCCTCCGAAAGAGTCGTTAGACACGTTAGCGGAATCGAGTCAGAATTACGCGATCTATATCGACAGCTTGACCGGCGATGAGCCAATTCTGTTTGGTAGCGTTCAGGATAGGAGAAGGGGTCGTTCCGGCACCCCCTTGTCGCCTAGATCGGTAGGAAAGAGTGAACAGGATTTCGGTGCTTTTGAGCAGGCTAAATCGAACGAAATGGAGGGTAGGGAATTAAAATCTGGAGATTCGCAGGGTAAAATAGGGGAAATGAGAGACACAAGCGATGTTGCGTCAAGTGTTGAGTTAGTTAAAGATATGGAAACAAAGGTTGACAGTAAGTTGGAATCTAAGGTTGAAGCTAAAGGTGTGGTGATTGATAAGGTTAGTGAAGAAATAAAAACTGAACTAACTCTCACAGAGATTCAAGAAGGTAAAATGGATACTGTACCTAAAGAAGTAAGTGTTTCTGAAGTGGTTGAAGAAGTGAAGAAAGAATTACCTACAACTGAAGATAAAGTATCCACTGATCAGAAAGAACTTGCAAAAGTTAAAGTGGATAAACCTATCAAGGAAACTGTATCCATTGCTCAGATATCAGTTGAAGAAAAGAAGAAAAGAGAAGAACCTACAACTGAAGATAAAGTACCCACTGTTGAGAAAGAACTTGTAAAAGTGGATGAACCTAAAAAAGAAGAAATTGTATTCACAGCTCAGATACCAGTTCAAAAAAAGAAGAAAACAGAAGTACCTACAACTGAAGATAAAGTACACACTGTTCAGAAAGAACTTGTAAAAGTGGATGAACCTAAAAAAGAAGAAATTGTATTCACAGCTCAGATACCAGTTGAAGAAAAGAAGAAAACCGAATTACCCAAAAGTGACAATAAACTCAGTACTGAAATTCAGACACAACTTTCAGAATTAAAAATCGATAAACCTAAAGAAGAAGGAACTGAAGCGAAGAAAACAGAAGTTGTTAAGGAAGAAGTGAAGAAAACAGAAATTAAAGTGTCTGAAAGTCTTCCAGAAGTTAAAGATTCTGAAGCAAAAATGCAAGACGTTACTTCTTACTACACAGACCTTGTGAAGCCATATTGGACCAACTACCACAACTACGTAGAAGCTGAGAATAATTTCTATCAACGTTTCAAAGTAATGAAGGTAGTAGAAGAAAATGTGCCACGGTCTCCGCCTCCAAAAGCGGAGAGCATCGAGAGAATTGTGCAGGAATCGATCATGAAGAAACCAGAAAAGGAAGAAGTGAGTGAGTCGGATGCTGAATGTAGGAAACGTGCATTCATTGCTGAATCTGTGAAGTACCCTGTTTGCACGTTCTATGAGCTGGAAAGTGAATGGGTGAAGTCTAAACAGCGACAGGAGATTGTGTCTACTTCTTCTGAGGAATCTAACACTATCACTGTTATCGAAGTTGAGAAAGTGCAGGAAGAGAAACCTGTAGACAAAGTTGAAGTTGCTGAGATAACTGAGATACGGGTTAATGTTGATCAAGACTTGATTGATGTTACTCTGAAGACGGAGGAATTAAAAGATCAAATAGAGAAACCTGTAATCGAAGAAGTTATTGATGATAAAGTAAGTGAGCATAAAGAAACTAAGAGTGAAGAAATTAAGAGTGAAACTATTGTTGATGTGAAAGATGAGACAGTGAAAGAAGTTGTGGAGACAGTGAAAGAAGAGAAAGGGAAAGGAAAGAAGAAAGCAAATGCTCAAAAGAAAATTGAAGAAAAGGAAGCAGAGACAGGCAAGACGCCTGAGAAACAGAAAGATGAGAAGCAAGATGTTGCAATTGTTCAGAGCACAAATTTAGAACAAAATATAGAACAACTGGGCATTGAAATAGATCAAAGTGTTCCCGAACAAACAGAAATTGCTCAAGAAGATAAAGCAATTGCAAAGCTTGTAGAAGAATCCCCGAAGGAAGAAATGAAATCTACGAGTGAATTAGCTGACATACAGCAAGTAATAGAAGAAAAGACGAAGATAGAAGAGGTGATTGAAAGTGAAAGTGTAACTGAACAAAAGATGGAAAAAAAGAAAACTTCCAAAGAGTCTAAGAAGAAGGTTAAGACGGAAGAGAATCCTTCACAGCAAGAAACTTTAATTGAAACTACAGAAACATTGATGAATGGTAAAGTGACTGAGAAAATCGAGGATAAAACACCAGAGATATTGAAAGAGGAGAACCAACCTTTAGACAAGTCTAAAGATGCAAAGGGTAAATCTAAAAAGCAAAAGCAGAAAGAAAAGATTGATGCAAAGAAGAAACAAGAAGAGAAGGTAAAGAAAGAGGAAGATATAGTTTCTGAAGAAACAACAGATGTTGCAACAGAAGAAAATAAAAAAGAAGAGAGTCAACCGGAAATGAAGGACAAAGAAACTAGTGATACAATCACTGTTACTGAAGAAAGGCAAACTGCGACAGCTCAGGAATCTTTGATGGCAGCTTTGACAGTCGGAACAGTAGAACAAACAGCTGAAACTGCGATTGAAGAACCTCAAAGTTTGCCAGTGCAGCAGAAACCTACGAAACAGCAAAAGAAGAAAGATGCTAAACGAGAAAAGAGCAACATCGAAATTAAATCTGAAACTGAGATTGATAAGGAAGAGAAACCTGAAAAGTCTGAGGAATTAGTTGAGGAAAATAAAATTACTGAGGAGACTCAGAGCACATCAGCTCAGAAAACGAAACAACAAAAAAGGAAAGATGCCAAGCAAAAGAAAGGTGGCACTGAATCGAAAGCTCTTCCGGAAACTGAAGTAGACAAGGAAAAAACAGTGGAAAAAGCAATTGAAAAATCTAAGGAAACTGCTGAAGAAAGTAAGAAAGCAGAAGAGCCTCAAAGTGCATCAGATGAAAAGAAAATGGAACAAAAGGAGGAAGATAAGAGTGAGGAAAGCAACATTGAATTGAAAGCATCTGTTGACACTGAAATAGATAAGGCAGAGACAAAAGCTGAAGAATTATCTGAAGACAGTAAGAAAATTACACTTGAAAAACCACAAAGTTTACCGACAAAACAACAGAAGAAAAAAGACCAAAAGAAGAAAGATGTGAAGCAAGAAAAAGGTGATGAAGTGAAACCTCTTCTTGAAGCTGAGGTCGATAAAGAAAAGACAGAAGCTGAAGAAAATAAGAAAATGGAAGTTGAACCTCAGAGTCCATCAAAGCAAAAACCATCTAAACAGCAAAAGAAGAAAGATGCAAAGCAAGAGAAAGGTGATACGGAATTGAAAGATGTTCTGGTAGAAACTGAAGTCGATAAGGAGAAGACAAAAGCTGAAGAACTGTCTGAAGACAGTAAGAAAATTACAGTTGAAGAAGCACACAGTTCACTGACGAAACAACAGAAAAAGAAAGAACAAAAGAAAAAAGATGCAAAGCAAGATAAGAGTGAAGTGGAACCTAAGCCTTCTCCCCTTGAAGCTGAGGTCGATAAAGAGAAGACAAAGACAGAAGAAATGTCTGAAGAAAGTAAGGACATTACTGAAGAACTTCAGAGTCCATCAGTGCAACAAAAACCGATGAAACAACAAAAGAAGAAAGATGCAAAGCAAGATAAGAGTGCTATGGAATTGAAACTTTCTCTTCCTGAAACTGAAATTGAAAAAGAAGAAACAAAATCTGAGAAATCTGAAGAATCTCCTGAAGAGAGTAAGAAAGTAACACCTGAAGAACCTCAAAGTCCATCAGTGCAGCAAAAACCAACGAAGCAACAAAAGAAGAAAGATGCAAAGACAGAGAAAGGTGTTGAATTGAAACTTTCTCTTCCTGAAACTGAAATTGAAAAAGAAGAGACAAAATCTGAGAAATATGAAGGATCTCCTGAGGAAAGTAAGAAAGTAACACCTGAAGAACCTCAGAGTCCATCAACTCAGCAAAAAACGAAGCAACAAAAGAAGAAAGATAAGAAACAAGACAAAGGTGCTTTGGAATCAAAATCTTTACTTCCTGAAGTTGAAGTTGATAAAGAAAAGAAACCAGAAAAGTTTGAACATGAAGAAAGCGATAAAGTTACTGAAGAACCTCAGAGTCCATCGACGCAACAAAAGTCAAAACAACAGAAGAAGAAGGATGCTAAACAAGAGAAACCCAATATTGAAGTAAAAGCTTCTGTAGCTGAAACTGAAATTAGTGAAGAAAAGTCAAAGCCTGAGAAATCTGAAGAATTACCTGAAGAAAGTAATAAAGTTGCTGAAGAACCACAGAGTCCATCGACGCAACAAAAATCAAAGAAACAGAAGAAGAAAGATGCTAAACAAGAAAAATCCAACATCGAGTTGAAAGCTTCTCCTCCTGAAGCTGAAGCTGGTGAAGAAAAATCAAAACCTGAGAAATCTGATGAATTACCTGAAGAAAGCAAAGTTGCTGAGGAACCTCAGAGTCCATCAACGCAACAAAAACCGACGAAACAACAAAAGAAGAAGGATAAACCAGAGAAACCCAATATCGAGGTAAAAACTTCTCCTCCTGAAACTGAAACTGGTGAAGAAAAATCGAAACCTGAGAAATCTGAAGAATTACCTGAAGAAAGCAAAGTTGCTGAGGAACCTCAGAGTCCATCAACGCAACAAAAACCGACGAAACAACAAAAGAAGAAGGATAAACCAGAGAAACCCAATATCGAGGTAAAAACTTCTCCTCCTGAAACTGAAACTGGTGAAGAAAAATCGAAACCTGAGAAATCTGAAGAATTACCTGAAGAAAGCAAAGTTACTGAGGAACCTCAGAGTCCATCAACGCAACAAAAGCCGACGAAACAACAAAAGAAAAAAGATACCAAACAAGATAAATTCACCGCCGAGTTGAAAGCTCCTCCTGAAACGGAGACTAGCGAAGAAAAATCAAAACCTGAGAAACCTGAGAAACCTGAAGAATTACCTGAAGAATTACCTGAAGAAAGCAAAGTTGTTGAGGAGCCTCAAAGTCCACAAAAACCGAAGCAGCAAAAGAAGAAAGACAAGCAAGAGAAACACAGCACTGAATCAAAAACAGTTGAAACTGAAATCGACAAAGATAAATCAAAATCTGAGAAATATGAAGAGAACAAATTTTCGTACGCTCAGGTAGCAGCTTCTGCTCGAAGAGCATCTCCAAATCAAGAAGACATTACCCTAATGAAACCAATTCCTTTGAAGTTTGATCAGAACTTGGAGAAAGTAAGCGAAGACAGCAAAGTTGCAGAAGAAGAAGTTTCAATTGCACCAAAAGTGGAAGAATCTAAGCCTGAAGAAATAACAGTAGATGTAAAATCTGATAAGACAACTATTGAGAAGGATACGTTTAAAATAGAATCAACTTCATGGGTAGAAGAAATAGAAAAAGAAGCTCTGGAGGATGATACAAAGTCTTCGACTCCAGACACACCGCAAATTAAAGGTTCGTGGGCTTCCATAGTTGGCAAACCAACAGAATCTACTCCATCCACTCCAGAAAAAATTGTGAAGATCGAAGAAACTTCTGAACGTCGCTCGCCTCCTCAGGTGCAGATTCACGTCGAAGAGGCTCCAGAACCTGTACCGATCGAGGAAGTTGTTCAAGTCGATGAACAAGGATTCATGGAGTTCGTGAATCGACGAGAACTTCGATCCAGGAGATCTAGATCGAGATCTCGAAGCAACCGAAGAGATGACAGATCGAAACAGGTTCCTGATGCGAGTCCTGATAAACTTTTGAGCGAAGAACGGAAGGAGGATCAGAAGAAAAAGGAGTCTGGAAAGAAAGAGGGGAAGAAGGGAAAGAAAGGTAAAACAGAGGAAAATATTGATCAGAGTAAAATTGAGAAGGAAAAGAGCGACGTTAAAGAAAAAGTGGAAGAGTCAACCAGAGTGAATCAGTCGACCAGTGAACAGAAGAGTCAACCAGAGAAGAAAGAAACGAAGAGCAAAGGTAAATCGAAGACGAAAGATACTCAGGAAAGCAAGAAGGAGGATGTGCAACAACTTGGAAAAGATAAACCAGAAGAAGAAATACAAACTGAAGACAAGATTCTGGAAGATAAACCTGTGGATGAAAAGAAGAATATAGAACAGACAAAAACTGAAATGAAAGAGCAACCTACCAAGAAAAGTAAAAAGTCAAAGAAAGGAAAGTCTGATAAGACACAAAGTAAAGAAGAAGGCGAAAAAGATCAAGTGAAAACTGATACAAAGATGCAAGGTGAAGATACGGAGAAAACGGAGGAAGTTAAAGAACCTGCCACAAAAACTGACGTTGAAGGTAAACCTGAATCTGATGAAAAATTGCAGGCACAGAAAGCAACAACGAAACGTAAAGGAAAATCTAAAGATAGAAAAGAACCTTTACCAGAAAAAGTAACGCCAGCTGAAGAAAAAGTGAAGGAAGTTTCAGTCAAAGAAGAATTGGTACAAGAAGTAAGTCAACAACCTGTTGAACTTAAATTGGATGTTGCAGAAATTAAGGATCAGGTTGAAATGCCTAAAGAAGAGAAAGTAAAAGAAGAAGCCATTTCTTCAGAGACAGTAGAAGAAAAAACGGACAGCGAGGTACCGAAAGAGGAAAAAGAAGAAGAGAAGTCCAAACTCTCATCTCGAGAAAAGAAGAAACGAAAGAAGAAGGACAAATCACGTGCCTCGACTGAAGAAAGGCAAAAGGAAGAAAAATCAGAAACTGATGCTGCAGAGAGCATTAAAATAGAAGAACCAGAAGTAAAACCTGTCAAACCAGAAGAAAAGCCACCAAAAGTTACTGAACCAAAACAAAAGAAAGAAGTGAAGGAAGAAAAGAAACCAGCAATAAAAGTTGCTGAAGTAATCGTTGATGAAATAAAACTCGCTCCTGAAACGATGCCCAAAGTGATTCCTAAAGACAGGTCAAAATCGCCTAAAGGAGAGATACCTTTCGAGGAAAATATAGAAGCGGCGAAGTTAACTGAAGAGATATTAAAAACGTTGACGGATACGGTGAAGAAATATGTGAAAGACGAAGAACCTGATTCGAAAGAGAAATCGAAACGGAAGAATAAGCAGGGAAAGAAAGGTAAACGCGAAGAGCAAGAGAAGGGTGAAGAAATTCACTTGCCAGAGGGTGAAAATATAACTGTTACTGAAGAAACTATAAAACAAGAAGTGACTGAAGAAAGTGATGGAGCAATTAAAGAGATGAAAATTGAAGATACTTCAGCAGGTGTATTGCAGACTGATCTTGAAAAGAAAGTATCAGTTTCGCAAAAAGTTGAAGAAGCTACTAAAACTTTACCTGAAGAAAAGAAAGAACAGAAAGCTGAAGAAACACCTATAGTTTTGCCTATGAAAAAGAAGGCTGTACAGAAAGTTGAAGTACCTCAAATTTTGTCTGAGGCTTTTCAGAAAATTGACAAAATTACTTCTGAAATTCTATCTATAGTTTCACTGAAAACTGAAGAAACTTCCACAGTTTTGCCTGCAGAAGAAACTTGCCCACAACTGACGTCCACTGAGTCTCCCAAAGACGAAGTTCCTTTAACTTCTGAAACTTTGACTATCGAAGAGAAAATTCCACAAAAAGTTGAAGAAACTCCTAAAACTCTGCCTGCAGAGGAAAAACTTCCCCAAAAGATTGAAGAAGTTTCAAAGCCAGAAATTCTGCCAGTAGAAGAAGTTCCAAAGGAAATTGAAACCCCTAAAATTTTGCCTGCAGAAAAACCTCCACAAAAGATCGAATCAGCCCCTGAAATTCTGCCTGCAACAGAAAAAATTTCACCGAAAATTGAAGAAACTCTGCCTAAAGAAGAAACTATTGAAAAATTGTCCAAACCAGCAGACAGCGAACCTGTCAAGTCCACCAAGGAAGAAAGAAAAGAAGAGACAAAGCAACCGCAATCCGAAGAAATAGAAGAAATTCAACCATCGATCGTGAAAGAATTAGAAGACATGATCGAGGACACCGAACAAATTCCTCCAGAAATACCGATAGAGAAATTGTTAGACGAACTCGAGTCGCCCATCACGATCGACTCGATTCAGTCGCAGCTAGAGACGGAAGAAGAATTCGAGAAGTGTATATCGAGCGAACCAGAAATAGAGACAGCCGATATCGTGATCGAGCCAGCGAAACCCAAGGTACAATTCTACATAGCCGACGAGATTTTGGTTCTAAGTCCCGAGAAAAAGAAGCCGGTTCAGACCCCATTAATCTTGAAAACCTTGTCAGAAATTAGCGACTCGATCAACAAATCGAAATTCCTTTCCCTCGACAGCGGCTTCTGGCCCGACAAACACCCTTATCACGAAGCCGAGCGCTATCTGTTCGAGAACCTAGCCAATTACGCGAGAGACAGATCTTCCAGGGTCATTCGCGATTCCAACGACCCTGATAACTTTGATGGGGACGGTGATGGTAGTTTGAACGATCGCGGAGGTAACGGTGGTCCCATGAGTTCTTTTTTCATGGGGAGCCCACACACGGAACGTTTGATCGCCGATCTTCCTGGAGGCATAGGTAGCTGGAGCGATTACAGCACTTACTTGTCGAGCGAAAACGAGCAGGGAATGGAGACCGATTTTCTTCAGGAAGTCGAGAATCCGAAGACTCTTCAGGAGTCGCTTTCTGAATTATCGAATGAGCAAAAAGGCCAGTCTTCGATGGTAGATAATTCTAGGGAGAGGAGGTTTCAGCTGGTACCCGCTCGCGAAGCGTCTATTTTAAGCGAGCAACCTGATCAATCAGAATCGTTCACTGATCTTGAGGAACAGTTCAAACGCGATGAATCGTCTTTGGAGCGTCTTCCTTCTCCAGTGTCGTTCGACAATTCTCAGGAGAGGAGGTTTCAGCTGGTACCTGCTCGCGAAGCGTCTATCGTGAGCGAGCAATTTTCTGATCTCTATCAATCAGAGACTTCAGAGCGTCTTCCTTCTCCCGTGTCGTTCGACAATTCTCAAGAAAGGAGATTTCAACTGGTACCCGCTCGCGAAGCGTCTATTTTGAGCGAGCAACCTTCAACTTCTGATCTTTATCAATCAGAATCTATAGATCTTGAGGAGTCCGCTATACGCGATGAGTTTTTGGAGCGTCTTCCTTCTCCAGTGTCATTCGACAATTCTCAGGAGAGGAGGTTTCAGCTGGTACCCGAAGCGTCTATTTTAAGCGAGCAAACTCTTCGATCAGAGTCTTCAGAGCGTCCTTCTCCATTCGACATTTCTGAGACGAGATTTCAGCTGGTACCCGAAACATCCATTTCGAGCGAACCCTCCACTTCGTTCCATCAACAGAGAGAACCCATTTCCGGTCCAAGCATCCCGTCGAAAATCCCAGCCTCTCCAGAACCCACGGAACATTTAGGTAGAGAAAGAGCACCGATGCAGCAGCAGACTCCGAATGTGGAGACGGAGAAAGAGACGGTGGTAGCTGAAGATGAGGCTGAAAAGAGGATACGAGGGATCAAGGTGCGACAAGCAGCGCTCGATCTTTTTACCTAATCGAGCTTGAGCGAGTTCAATTTATCCGGCTGTTGTTTTGTGCAGATTTGTATGTGTACACAGTCGGCTCGATCTCGCGAGCGGATGTGTGCGTGTGTGCGCGTGTGCTTGGTACATTCGAGTGGGACATGCACTTCTCTTGGTTGATGGAAAGTATAGAAAACGCATAGAGAAAGTTTCTGGGGAAATCTAGGTTTCTGAGGAAGGGTGTAGGAACCCTTCTTGTAGGAACCTTAGACTTGTAGGCTAATCTTAGGGATCCTAGGATCTAAGGTAAGTCTGATCCTGGGTAGACCTAGAAAGGTCCAGGAACCTGAAGCCTTTATAGAGGATATTAGAAGCCTTCTTGGAAGTTCTGAGGAAAACCTAGAAGTCTTGAAAGATCTAGACATTCCTAAAGACTCCAAGTGAGCTAAAAAAATCCTAAAGATCACCAGAGAATCTAAAAGTCCCCGGTAATCTCAGAAAGCCTACAGTAATCTTAGAAGTACCCAAAACCCCAGAAAAATTCTATATTGAAACCTTGATGAAATCCAAAGTGAATTTGGAAAAATAAAAATGTGGACAGATAAAGTGGTACCTTCCACAACTGAGGGAAGCCAATGTTGCACGAGACTGTATAGTGTTTCTCTTTTTTTATCACTGTTTTTATTTGTTTCTTCCGAATGTTTTCTGTCGATTTTCTTTAACATCATTCTCGACCTCTGTACTTCGTATCTCTCGCTGGTTCTTTGCGTTTTTCACGTTGCTGCCGCCGTTTACAGCTTACGTTATCGCTAATCGCTGTTGCTTCTATTTATACCCCATTAAACGATCTTCCCAACTTCTTCATCTGCATGGTAGACTTTAAGAGATGCTCGAGCGTAACGTTACTTGATTTTCGGCTTGCGTTGCGACTGAAACGGGCCTGAAGTTTTGAGTATCATTTTGAGAAAATTTTCTTTTAGCCAACGGAGTTGTTCGAGGACCACGTTGAAGTGTTCGGTCGACATTTTTTTTGTAATCGAGTCCTCGTAGCTTACCGCGACACCCGAGGACACAAAAGAGACACAACTTTTGAACCGCCCTGTAGTAAAACATTCCGAGACCTTTTTATCGTGCATGATCTGCGACGACAGATTCTCAGACCATGAAGAAGCAATCCCTTCTATGTTGTTTTTGCGTAGTCCTTGTGTTACGATTTGTTGAAAATTCAATCGGTATCCGAAGCTAATCAATTAACCGATTGAGCTCCTGACCTGCACGGCATATTTTTCACGCCATCGTGTACTTTGTGGACTTCGTTTAACTAGCTGATATATTGCAGGACATCATACAGGAGCGTCTGATGGTTTTACAGCTGAGTCTATCGAACCTGAAAGGAACTTGCTTGCCGAGGGATAGCATAGACTCCATGCTGTCTGCCCTCACGGTGAGATTATGCGATTATACTGTATATCATGTGATATGTGATTATACTGTATGTCAAATAGACTACAATACAAATTATAATAAAAATTTGATCAAATCTGTAATTTCATAAAAGTTCACGTATAATATATTAATTGCAGAAAATGATAACGGAGCTCCAAGGTTACGAACAAGAAACCAGACAACTTGAGGAGGAATTGCACAAAATTCCAGCGGACACCGAGGCACAGAGACTCCTCTCGAACTTGTCTGAAGTTCAAACAAGAATTTCCACGCTTTTAACTCAGGCTGAACAAGGAAAGGTCACTTTAGAGGCGGCACGTGGACAACAGGTGCAACGTGGACATGATATACACGCATACAAGCAATTTTTGGACGAAACTGACGCTTGGTTGAAGAATATTGTGGCGAATATTAAGGAACCGGTCGCCACGAATAAGGTGCGTTTACTGGGGATTCGGGAAAATTTAAAAAATTATTCCAACATGGTATGGTTAATTTGGAAATTTAGTATGTTAGATGGGGTAATTTGTGACTTGGGAATGTGGTATCTAACGCTTTGGGTTTAACATACTTGACTTGGTAATTTGGGATACTGGTCTTTCGGTTCAATAATGTTTTGATTTAGGTTATTGGTAATTTGGAAGTTATCTGAAAGCCTGGATGTCTTCCAACTTAAAAATTAGCGCTAATTCGAGAATTTGAGTAATTGGTAATTCGGAATACTGGTGTCTGAGCTTTCGGTTCAGTAACGACTCGATTTACATTATTGATAATTTGGAAGTTATCTGAAACCCTAGAAGATGTCTTCCAACTCAAAAATTATCAAACAATCACTAATTCAAGAATTACTTTCCTACTTAATTATTAAATTGCCAATTTTATTTCAGACATTTAAAATTCCTAAAATTACCTAATCGTCAAATTCTCCGATTTAGCACCAAAAATTCTCTTCTCTCATCAACTAAATTCATCTAAAATTACCTCAAACGTTATTTTATCGAATTTCCATAATTTAACACAAACGATCCCAAATAAGAATTACCTCAAACTTCATTTCATCGCATCTCCATAACTTACCAAAAAGCTCCCAAATCGTAATCCCTTAATTTAGAATGTTCGGTTTATTTAAAAATAAAGTGGCATCGAGGTTAGAGACGTAACATACGTATACGTGAACAGGCTTTGCAGGACGAGTTAAGCAGTCACGCGCAACGAGTATCGGAGCTTGAATCGTTGCCAGAAATCAGCACTCTGGCAAAGGTCCTGAAGAACGCATTATTGGAGGTGATGTCTCGTCTTCAGCAACGGCAGCAGGTATCCAACGTTTTCCAATGCTCAAGGGCTTTCGCAAACTTCGCCGGTGTTCGCGCAACGGTCTCGTGAACCACATGAAAAGATACACAGCTTGTCGAATATGTAGATTTTTCTAAGATCTAATTCTAGTCAATTTGGGGGTGAATATTCGGTCTCTTGCAGGACGTAAGAGACGTCGAATAATTCTGATGTACACAGTATGTATATAAAGGAAGAATAATATATATACTGCCTGTATTTTGTATCATAGGGGAGCAGGGTTAGTGTTGGGTATGGAAATTCTTATAAAATGTACAAAGTTCTTGTCAGGTGCCTTATTCATCTGTAACACCCTGATATAGTCATAGAGAATTTGTATAAATCTAATGTTCAATAATTAACCCCGTTAATTATGTAAATACCCAACACTGTAAGATAGTAAAGCATGTAACCGTTATTTCGCTGCTTCGACGTAGTAATTTATGTTTGTAACGCCACACTTCACACTGCACGTTAATGGGTTAATTAAGGCAACGGTGGATAGAATAGATTATGTACACCTCACGATAATTCTCATTATTTTGCACCATGTCACGTTAATTTTCATCAGCTTCTGTTCACACGCAACACTATCACAATTCCGTTCTCATATATCATCGTGTATTTATTTGAAACGCACTTTATGTTCATCTAGCTTAAGGTAATGGATGTAATTGTATAGACGCAGCATTTTGTTTAAGGAATGTTAATACAGTACTCTGTAATTTTTTTCATGCTGTAATTAAAGTATTCTCATTAATCCCTATCTCCCTCCGTTTTTATTTATCCCACCTCTCATGTCTGGTTATGGAAAGAATTATCAATTGTATGTAACTGTATGTATTTCTATACACAGGGTGTTCATCAAATTTCCAGAAACTTTGACTGTACACACCCTTGCATATATGTTTGTAATAATAATAATAATGATGGAATATTGTTCGGGAATTATCAGAAAATATTCGAGATTCATATTTTTCAAATGATTATATTTCGATGTTACATTTTTAGTAGACGTTAATAAATTTTCGGTGTCTTAACGCGATAAAATTGTTCTTTTTATATATATTATACACACGTGTATTATATACACGTTTCGTGGTATATGTGCGGCTTAAAATAAATTCAAACGTAGCATTCGTTTTGATCTAAAAATACGACAGTGTTGCGCGAAGTGTTCTTGTCTACGGATATTTTCTCGTTCTCTCTCCTCGACGACGATGCTTTTCAAATAAATTCTTCCGCCATCATCGACACCATGCAGGTGCAGCTGTGCCGAGTAGAAATAGTCAAGGCTCACCAAATCATGTAACAATCAACGTCAAATTTCACGTAACTGTGTTCGACGTAGTGCTACCATTAACAAGGACGTAATAAATTTTGCTGCTTTAAAAACAGACATCCGCCATTATTCATGTCAACAATTTGTATTGCATAACAATATTTGTTGGTTACTAAAACGTGATATAACATCTTACATATTATCTCATTTGTGTTTTAATGGCAGAATGTTCATTATTTATACTAATTGTAAAATATTCAGTGAATATATGAGGAGGGTAAAATTTTGTTTAAAGTTTAAATGTATGTTGGAATAATTGTAGGAAGTTATGAAGAGTATTTTGGCGAAAATAAGGGAGCTAAGGTGTTACGTTATATTGCCAGGAGGTGCATTTTGGAGTACCATGCGTTAGATCGCCACGCTTTAGATCACCACGCATGGTGTCACCATGCGTTAAATTTCCACAAGGTAGATTACCACGCATGGTGTCACCACGCGTTAAATTTCCACGGGATAGATTACCACGCATGGTGTCACCACGCGTTAAATTTCCACGGGATAGATTACCACGCATGGTGTCACCACGCGTTAAATTTCCACGGGATAGATTACCACGCATGGTGTCACCACGCGTTAAATTTCCACGGGATAGATTACCACGCATGGTGTCACCACGCGTTAAATTTCCACGGGATAGATTACCACGCATGGTGTCACCACGCGTTAAATTTCCACGGGATAGATTACCACGCATGGTGTCACCACGCGTTAAATTTCCACGGGATAGATTACCACGCATGGTGTCACCACGCGTTAAATTTCCACGGGATAGATTACCACGCATGGTGTCACCACGCGTTAAATTTCCACGGGATAGATTACCACGCATGGTGTCACCACGCGTTAAATTTCCACGGGATAGATTACCACGCATGGTGTCACCACGCGTTAAATTTCCACGGGATAGATTACCACGCATGGTGTCACCACGCGTTAAATTTCCACGGGATAGATTACCACGCATGGTGTCACCACGCGTTAAATTTCCACGGGATAGATTACCACGCATGGTGTCACCACGCGTTAAATTTCCACGGGATAGATTACCACGCATGGTGTCACCATGCGTTAAATTTTCACATGATAGATTACCACGCATGGTGTCACCATGCGTTAAATTTTCACATGATAGATTACCACGCATGGTGTCACCATGCGTTAAATTTTCACATGATAGATTACCACGCATGGTGTCACCATGCGTTAAATTTTCACATGATAGATTACCACGCATGGTGTCACCATGCGTTAAATTTTCACATGATAGATTACCACGCATGGTGTCACCATGCGTTAAATTTTCACATGATAGATTACCACGCATGGTGTCACCATGCGTTAAATTTTCACATGATAGATTACCACGCATGGTGTCACCATGCGTTAAATTTTCACATGATAGATTACCACGCATGGTGTCACCATGCGTTAAATTTTCACATGATAGATTACCACGCATGGTGTCACCATGCGTTAAATTTTCACATGATAGATTACCACGCATGGTGTCACCATGCGTTAAATTTTCACATGATAGATTACCACGCATGGTGTCACCATGCGTTAAATTTTCACATGATAGATTACCACGCATGGTGTCACCACGCGTTAAATTTTTACATGATAGATTACCACACATAGTGTCACCACGCATTAAATTTTCACAGGATAAATCACCACGCATTAGATCGCCACGTGATCAAATTTCACATGGTAAATAGCCACTCACTAAATCGCCACGTGATCAAATTCTACGTATTACATCGTTACGCAATGAATTAACACTCATCAGATCATTACACATTGAATTATCTCATGTTAGATCGCAACTCATTAAATCGTCACGTTAAATTAGAATTACCACGCGTTAGATCACCACCCATTAAATTATCACGCTTCAGATTGCCACATATTAAATTAGTACGCCTTGTATCATTATACCTTGCATCATTAGACTTCTACTCAACATAGACTTAAATTTTGATATAATCAAAGTACACGAAACATCCAAATTGTTCCCTTATTTCGCTAAAACTTAACTCTCCAAAAATAAAGTGGCAAATCTTAAAAAAACATGAAGTTGTAGGTTCCAGCAACCGAAAGAGCAGACTTTCGCAAGACGAGCCAGGTACAAAAGTGTCTTTTGCATTTGCAGGAGCAAGGAGACGAGGAGGCTCGAGCCGACGAGGCGTCAGATCGAGATGACGCGACACTCGATCAAGCACCCTCCATACACTCGTCGCTCGAAAGTAGTATGCCATCTCTGGCAGACGTTTCCCTGCAGACAGGTCAAAGTCTGCTAGAGAACGATGTAGAAAAGCCCCAACAGCTTACGAAGGAAACCTCGACGACTCCAGTATCAACTGTGTGTCACTTAACCACGCAAACGATGGACGATGACAATCTTCAAACCGAAACTATAAAGATCCTGAAGACAACCGAAGGTGATCACGATGTGATCGAAATAGCCACGAAGAATCTGCCAAGTATATCTGTTCAGGAAGTCGTTCAAGATCGCCCCGAGACAGAGGACATCGTCGTTGACATGAAGTACCAGGACCCCACGAAGGAAAGCACTACCAGTGAGCTGAACATCGTCCACGCTGCTCCGCAATCGTTCGAGACGGTTTTGGTCGAACCTGACGACGTGACAACGGAAGTGGTAGTAGATGAAGATGGTTCCAAGAGGATTATCGTGAGAAAACTGAGGAGGACCACCATGACGAGCAGACAGACCACGCAGCAGCATTTATCCTCTACCGCTGCAGCGATAGGAGACGCTCCATCCGTGGTGCACGCCTTCTCCGAGGCCACCATGAGGGACCAGCAGGTCACCGTGACCACGGCCAAGCCTAACGGCACCATAGAAACCACCACCAAGCAGGTCTATGGTGGTAGAGTAGCTACTGGAACACCGTTCAGAGATGTGAACGTGGAGGAGTTCGAGTCGGCGCCGCAGTACACTCATGTGGTTACTCATGGACAGATACGGGACATCAGTCCTCAGCCCCTCGAGGAGGGTATCCTGATGGAGGGTGGTGAATTCCAGGCGAAAACAGCGAGTGTTCATGCGGTGGTGCAGCAGGTGACCAGAAGAGTGGTCAGAAAGACTAGGAGGATCATTCGGAAGGTAACGATCATTGATGGTAAAGAGACCGCCACGGAGGAGGTCATAGAGGAACCTGAAGAGGTGGAGATCGACGAGAAGAGTATACCTCATATAAGCATCAACGTGGTTAAGCAGGAAGACCAGCGACACGTTGGTGCACAAATTGAGGAAGAAAAAACTGATCAGCCTAAGATCGAGAAGCTTGATGAAGGTACAGATGTGAAAGTTGAAACGAAAGACAAAGATACGGATATGAAAGATGTTACAAAAGTGTCAGATATGAAAGATGTCACAAAAGATTCAGATATGAAAGATGTCACAAAAGTTTCAGATATGAAAGATGTCACAAAAGATTCAGATATGAAAGTGGTGACAAAAGATGCAGAAGTGAAAGATGCAGCCAGTCCCGAGATGCAGGGACCTTTCTTCGGCGCGTTCGCCAAGGACATGCACCCAAGCACGAAGTACACAGAACCAGAAAAAGAAATCTCTAAACCTGAAGAGGATAAGAAGGTTGCAGATGCTATAGAAAGTCAACAACCTCTAGATGTTCCATCAGAACAGCTTGAAGAGCCTTTGGTAGAGAGCAAAGTTGAAGAGAAATTGCTTCAGCCTGTGAAAAAGCCAGCGGACAAGTACGAGCACGAGCAATTCCTGGCCGAGGTAAATGACAAAAAGCCCCTTCCAGTGGACAGCCAAGCGTTCATCGATGCTGAAGTATCCGCTGCTTTGCAGAGTCCTAGCCAAGAGATCAAGATACGAGAGGGCTCGGTATCTGAAGAGTTAGTCAGGTCTCCGATCGACACCGTGTCGGAGGATGTACCGAGCATCGATAAAGCGACCTGTAAGTCTGTCGGTGCACCAGCTATTGAAACACCCGGTATGGAGGTAGAAGGTCGCACGGTAGACGTAGAAAAGCACCCTGACACTAGAGGCACCGTAGATACTTCTGTACTTGAGGAGCCGAAGAGAGCACAAGATCTAGCTCTCGAAGAAATACAAAAGACAGTTGAAATTTCAGGAGAGCCTGCAGCGATCGAAGAGTCACGAGTCGAAACGAAGAAACTTGAAGAGAAGAAAGAGGAACATGTCCTGCCAATCCACGTGAAACAGCAGATAGTGAAGGACTCGTTCGTTCCTGAAATGGATTACGACTACGTGGACGAAGCCCTGAAGCCGGAGTACAAACCCATCTTCCACAAGGTGGAGATATCTCTGGCTGTGAAGAAAGAGGGAGAGGAAGTGGAGCCTGTGGTGTCCGTAAAGAGCCAAACAGAACCGCGAAGTGTACCCTACGGTATGGTGATGGAGGATGTGGACATTAGTCTACCTGCAGCCAAGGAAAGTAAAATTCACGATAAAATCATTCAGACATCTCCACCGGCACCTGAAAGACCCACCACCTTGGAGAAAGAAGTCGCCACCTCGGACAAATCGGTGATCACTTCGGAGAAGGAAGAGACAGACAAGTCGATCATCACTTCGGAGAAGGATGAAACTTCGGACAAGTCCGTGATCGCTTCAGAAAAGGAGGAAGAATATCATCCAAGGCCGACAACGATACCCGAAGAAGAGGTTGCTTTAAAAATCGAAGAAGAAATCGGGTCACCGATGAAGTCCAGCACTTCACTGATTTCGAACCTTGCAGACTCGATGGAGATTGACATTCCGTTGTCTGACTCTTCGAAACAGATCAGTGAAGCGCCCCAACCGGACGTGACGAAAATATTCGCATCAGGTGAGATCGAGTTGTCTTTGAAGGACGAAACTTCAGAAGGCGAAGATGGATACGAGGCAGACAGGACGATGGTGTCTACAACTACGCCAGATGACGATAACGTGACGCGGACGAAGAAGAAGAAGAAGAGGAAGCAGAGAGTGAGGAGTTCAAGAGAAGAAGAGCCAACAGAGTTTCCCAAAACGACCACCGATGAGGGAGAATTCACTGACGATGTGACGCCAGTGGAGAGCGAAGACGCGAAGGCCACGAAGAAGAAAAAGAAGAAAAGGAAGAGAGACGAAGACAATAAGGAAAAGACTTCACGAGTCCCTGGGTGGAACGAAGCGGACACGCAGACTGCTCCTCGGGACTTCAGCGTCTCGGTAGCTACGTCTCCGAAGCAGGAAGAGGTGTCGGCGACTTATGTGCAAACATCGCCGCAGGTACCTGAAGAACCCGAAGTGTCGAAGGTCCAAGAGGTCCACAGAGAGGTGCAGACTTCGCCTCTAACACCTGAAGTCATTGAAAAACCCAAAACAGAAGTCCACGCAGAAATGCAAACATCTCCGTTACTCGGTCTGGACTTCAGCACCCAAACCCTTCAGGAAGAATCTAAACCTGAAACGCAGCATTCCGAGATGCAGACTTCGCCTTTACCAGCGTCAGACTTCGCCGTGCAAACTATCAGTGAAGCACCACCCGAAATCGAAGAAACTAGTACTCAGACTTTGGAAACACCTAAAAAAGAGGTTGAAGAGTATGCTGTTCAAACGAGCCCAATAGAAGAGATTCCAGTGATAGTGGTCCCTGCTGAAACGGAGGAAATGCAGGTTCAAACTATGCCTGCCGACGTGGTTTCCATCGAGGCACAGACATCGCCAACGGCACCATCCATGGAGATGGAGACTCAGACCATAGAGAAGACTGTGGCCGCTGTTGAACAGCAGACAACTCCTTCACCCATCGAGGAGAAGGTTTCAACCTGCATCGCTGTTCAGACTTTGACTCCTGAAGTGCCTGACATTATCGAGACGGAGGCGCAGACGAGTAAACCTACCAGTCCAGAGATGACCACCTTGGACTTCAATGTTCAAGCGGATCTGGTTGTAGAGACCCCAGTGGAAGTGGTGGAAACGCAAACAACCCCCAAGGAGAGTCCCAGGCAGGCTGACACCCAGGAAATGGAGTCGCAGACAATTTTACCTCAACCGACCGAAGAAAGAATGATGCAGACCAGTCCACTTAGCGTCTCCCCGGTTCCAGTTGAGGTCTGCGAGCTGTCCGCACAGACCAGCCTCGAGGAAGCCAAACAATCGATGGACGTGCAATCGCAGACCCTTCCCGAAGAGACAGAGACGTTAGATAGCTCTGTGCAAATAAAAATGAGCGAGCCTGGCGTGAAGGAGGGTATCATCCCTGAAACGCGAGACGATATCGCGCAGACGAGTGTGGAGGAGACACCGTCATTCGTGACTGTTTCACAACAAACGAATGGAGCTGAAGAGAGAAATATATTTAAGAGTGATGCGCAGGGAGTGCAAGCCACGGTGGATGTGGTGGACGCGTCGACGGAAGTTATGACGCCTGTAAAATATATAGAAATTCCAGTAGCACCTGATGTACAAGTACAAGAAACTAAGGAGGAGTTGTTGATGATGGGCGTTGAAGAGCCGTCTTACGATTTTATACAAACCGAACGATTACAAGGACTTTTGGAGCAAGAACCAAAGTCGGAAGATAAAAAGACAATGGAAGGGTCAACCGCTGAACTGTCGGTCAGCGATGAGACCACCAGTAAACTTACTGACACTTCGCAGGATACTAGTATTAACGAGGACTTGAACGCAGCCAAAGTGGACGACAGCAGCGTTGGAAGGAGACAGAAACGGAAGAGGAGACACAAGACGATGGAAATTAGCTCTCCGAGTGAAATGGACCTCGAGTCCATATTTGGCCAACCCGTGGAATCTAGGGACGTTTCGTTGAAGTTATCTTATTCTGACGTAGCCAAGAAGAATGTGGGTAAGGAGAAGTCTCCTTCTAGCGATGCCCCTCTGGAGAGGATTTCTGAACAGTCAGACGACGCTGCAACTAAGGAGAGGATCGAAGAAGAGAATGTACAGACCTCATTTACGGAACCAGTTCAAGATGTGTGGTCCCTGAGTAAAGAAAAAACAGATTTAGAACCTGAAGTGCAGCAAGTCCACATGCCTTCACCTGAACCGATGGACACGACCGAGGAACCATTTTCGCCTCCAGAGTCGGTGCAGGAGGATCGACCCAAGATCAAAACCTATGCAGACATCATCACTGAATCTTCCAAGAAGCCTGGTTTGGAGCAAGCTTCGTGGGAGATGGTTCCACAAAAGGGTGCGAGTTCAAAGGCCTTCCTCCTAGCGGAAACCAAGGAGTACGATCCTCAGCTTCAGGTCACCCAAAGCTGCCAAACCACGAAAGCTATTTCTGATCGAATGCAGAATCTCAGGAACGCCAAACAGCCGAGTCACCTGGGAAATATTCTGCACATTGCTCACCTGGATCAGGTGGCCAATGAGAAGTTAGCCGAAGAACGTGCCGCTGATGTGAGGAAGGAGTTGTCTCACCTGAAGGACGCTGCTCAAGAGAAAGATGCGATCGCTGTGGAGGAAACCCTGGTGGTCATTGTGGATACCATATCCACGTGGCTGGAGACGATCGAGTACAGGATCTTCTTGAGTAAAGAGTGTCCTAGTGGACCTTCGCACGAGGACAAGACGTATATCGAACTGAAAGACGAAGTGGAGAATGTGGAGGAAAATATACAGGAGTTGAAGAACATTTGGAAGCTGGTGGAGACTAATTATCCTGGGAACGATCGCGCCAGTTTGCAGGAGTGTCTGGACGCTCTCATGCATCAGGTGAAGATGATCGAGGACGTGACTACCGATGGAGAAAAGCATGTGACCAGTGAGCTTGCCCGATGGGACGAGTTCGTGAACGGGGTGAACAACATGTACAGGTAAGATCAAGTATAGATCATAATCAAATATAGTAATGAGTAATTTTCACGATTAACAAGTTCTTGTTATAACAGGCTGATCGAAGAACAACGTGGACAGCTAAACAACATTATTGAGCAGGAAGCATCCACAAAATGGAAGCTTCAAGAGCTCGATAAGTTGGAAAATATAAATCGTTGCCACATGTGGAAGACCGCGTCCCTCCTCACCACTTCTCACGAACTGCTACGCGATTATCCTGGAAAACACATCCCAGAAGAGACCTACACTGCTCACGAGATGACCAAGGTGATCGAGCACGGTATTTCCATCGAACGCGAACGTCTTCTGCAACTGCTGGCTTTGGCCGAGGAATACGAGCAGACTCTTCGAGAGTTCGCGCAGATCACCGAGATTGCAGAAAATTTACTAGAAAGTCCTATCTCTGTGATGAGTTTGGAACACCTTCAAGAAGAGATGCAGAAGCACAGGAAGTTCTTTGTCAATCTGAATCACTGTCGAGCGATCCTGGAGTCATTGGAGGGTAATTTGGACCCTGAAACGAGGACCAAGTACTCTGACCTTCACGAAGAATTACATAGTAGAGCTATTTCGTTGTTGGATCAAGCAGCGTCCAGAGCTCAACAAATGGCTCTGGCTGCGTCCAGATGGATTCTTCTCGAACAAGGCGTCAAAGAGGAACGAGGATGGCTCCAGGTTGCTCATCAACGAGTTCCTGACCTCCAAACTGTGACGTCATCCGACTACGACCAGTACATCTCCCTGTACCAAGTAAGTGTTAAAACGTAAATGTATTTTTAATCTTACATTTGGAGTGCTTTTAACCCTAACATTTGATCAGTTTAACCCACATTTCATCAACAAATTCTTTTTTTAGTCACTGGTAACCGATGTGACGACGCATCACGCTAAGATAATTCAGCTGCTGAACGTAGCCCGCAGTCTTCAGGAATTGGTGAACATCGAAGATCCCGAGGATCGTTATGGAGAAGCTTTGGACGTTATCGTGAAGCTTCAAGACGACGTGGAATCGTCTTTGAGAAGATTGTTGGCGTTTAGGGAGAGTTGGAGCAATCAGGATGCGTTGATGAACAGATTGGAGAACTGGATGAACAAGGTTGAGAAGGAGCTGGGTAGTCTGCATGATCCGTCTGGGGGTCACATACGACAATTTTGGGTAAGTTTTCATATGTGTGGGAGAAGATGATGTGGATGAGACATGTTTTAAATCGTTGGACATCACATGTGTTGTGATGTACAATATATCCGTACAACATATACATGATGTCCATACATATCTCCATACATATACATACATCTCCATACATATACATGCATCTCCATACATATACATACATCTCCATACATATATCTCCACATGCATAAAAGTTCCTATGTGTTGTATTCCCAATATGTATTCCCAACATATGTTCCACACATGTGTTACTTCCTATACGTTATATTGCCTACGCATTACATTCTCCACGCCCTATATTTCCCACTTGCTGTATCCCCATTTACTTACTTCCCTTTCTTCACCCTAACTATGAACTCAAACCTATGAACTCAAGCTTCACCTCATTCTTTCCAGGAGCTGAAGGCCCAGTACGAGGTCCACAACAACATGCGAGAGGAAGCAAACAACAGTTTCGAGCAAGCGCTCAGAATCATCCCTCTCTCCGACGAGATGTTGCAAAGACAGTTCCACCGCGAGGTCCAAGATCGCTGGGACGACGTAAGCCACCGTATCAACGAGATCCAAGAACAAGTCACTAGAAACATCTCCTCAGAAGACATCTCTTCCAACGAGAAACTGAAGCTCCTCGAAAGAGAGTTGAACGAGCTACGAATGACCATAGACGGTTTCCACGGAGTCCTCAAAACGGAAGAAGAGCTGGATCTCTACATCGAGCGACTGACCGTCCTCTTCGACAGAATATCGTTGATTCAAGACGAGCTGGGTCGGCTAGGTCTTCTTCCGGTCGCGGAGAGCGAGAAGGTCGGAGTGCTGTTGTCTTCCGCTCGTCGAATCGAGAGTCAGATCAGCGAGGAACTGGACGCGGCACAATTATTAAGGGAAAGGCTTCAAGCTATTCATCGTGGCCTCAACCGTGTCAGGAAAGCTCATCAACGGCAATCATCTATATTGGATCAATGCGAGGGAAGCGAACGACAGGGAAGCGACGTGGTCGCGGCTGCTGTAGAGCGTTGTCAAACGGTCGCTGACGAGCTCGCTATATTGTGGCAGGATATCATGGGACTCAGACAATTACTCCACACTTTGCCAACCATTATGAGGGTCTCCGTGTCACCTGTCAGCGTGGAACGCGATATCTCCAACCTGCAGGATGCACACACCGATCTGGAGGCCAGATGCACTCGGCTGTTGGCGCTGCTGAGGAACAGACTTGCTCTGTGGAGGAGGTTCGAGAGACAGCTGGAAATGGTGCAGCAGTCCGTTCAGGAAGCTGATTACATGATGGAGCTGCTGACGGTTCAGGGATCGGTCGATTATGACAGACTACTCAAAGCTACTGAACGATTGGAGGTGAGTTTTGAGATAAGAGATAACTTTGCGATTAGTCTTCACTTTTACTTGGTGAATGGATTATCAAGGTCTACCTGAGAATGGCTTTGTAGACTTTTAGGTATTGTAAGTGCATAAGCATCCTAGGACATGTTTGTTGAGGGTTTATGATGGTATAAATATTAATTATCGACCCTGAAATGACTGGGAACAGATGTGACTCACGTCTGTGAAATGTGTATGATGCATCGATTAAAATTAAATACTCAAATTTCTTTGTGCATTGAGTAATATGAAATATTATAAGCGTTCGCGATAAACGTGTTACATTAAAGAAACCGAAGCAATTAATTTGGCTAGAGCAAATTGAAAAGTAAAATATCCTGAACGAGTGTAATTATCCACTGCGACAAGCAGGGTGTTAATTAAGAAGCTTAAAATCGCCGCACGACAACGAAGCGATTTGCACCATCCAAGTACCTATAATCCAAACAGTTTTGTACTCGAACATTCCTTGAAACTCTTCGGAGCCGAGAATGCGTTAAAACTTGCAGAAGTTTCAATGACTATAATCTAGAGGTATCGAGCGCCCTGCTTTCACGTGGCGCGACCACGCTTTTACTTGTTCTACTAAAGAAACTACGAAAAACTTCATTAAAAAGTAACTCATCGTTGCAGCAAAGTTTGAACGTGCTTCGTGTTTTATATTTTCAACTATTTCAAAGTTGAAATTCACTTTTGCGTGACGCGCGTTGCATCGTAGCGGTAATTAAATCTAAAACGAACTGTTTTGTGCAAAATATTTTAGTTACTAATATTCGGGGTTTAGGGTCGTTGACGAAGGAATGTACTTTGAGTTTATGGAATCAGATTTAGGGGAAATTTGTGTGTTTGTATTTGGAAAAATTTGGAATATGGGAAGGTGGGATTGGGGGGTGTGGACTTGGGGAATTTGGAAATTGGGGGATTTGGAAATTGAGGGATTTGGAATTGGGAGGTTTGGAAATTGGGGGATGTGGAGTTGGGAAATTGGGAATTGGGTGATTTGGAATTGGGAGATTTGGAAATTGGGGGATGTGGAGTTGGGAAATTGGGAATTGGGGGATTTGGAATTGGGAGATTTGGAAATTGGGGGATGTGGAGTTGGGAAATTTGGAATTAGGAAACTTGGAATTGGGGGATTTGGAAATTGGGGGACTTGGAATTGGGGAATTTGGAAATTGAAAAATTTGGAATTGGGGGATTTGGAAATTGGGAAATTTGGAATTGGGAAACTTGGAATTGGGGGACTTGGAATTGGAAAACTTGGAATTGGGAGGATTGGAAATTGGTAAATTTGGAATTGAGAAACTTAGAATTGGGAAATTTGGAATTGGAAAATTAAAAAATTTAAAAACTTGGAAATTTGAATATTTAAAGTTCTAATTAAAAGTCACTAGAAACCATTACCGGAAAACACTTTCCTCTTCGATAACCTTCGCCACGTGCTAAAGAACCGCGGTCGGCGCTGCGCATGCGCGATAGTACAGGGATCGGTGTTATCGCGGGTCAGCTATCAGTGGCACGAGTTCCGTCGTGGCGTACGGATCGGTAGCGCGTTAGTTCAAACGTTTCGTAAGTGTCTCTCGACAGTGATACTCCTCCAACAGAATTAATCGTGAAATAAACTATCCTTGGATTACATTAACCCTTTGAACGGTGGTGAAATGAAGAATGAAGAACTGCGGTGACACGATCCACGCGAAAAATCGACGAAACGTCAGTTCGCGAATGGTCGAGCATGTCTACGCTCGACACATCGTATCGGCTGATCGGAAGTAAGCGTTCAATATTCATGGGTACCATTTGTTGAACGATTTTAATCATTCGTACTTTGGAACGAAACGGAGCGTTAAAATACGTAATTTTTGCGTCGAAGAGAAGATGGAACACGTGGATTGTTTTGCTTTCTTTTGTCTCCTCTATGTTGAAGTCGTTGCTTAAAAAATTTGAAATCGTTGCTTTAAAATACGCAGTAAACCCAGGTTTTTATTTGAAGCTTCTTTTTATTAATCTTGAAGGCATTTTTAAATTACTGTTCACGAGATCTCCATAGTTGAAGGAAGGGTTAAAATAGTGAAGTTGAAACCTTCGAGAACGTCGTGCCCTACAGGCAGTAATCCGTTGTGTATACACTCGACCTAAACAGGGACTGTGTATACAAAAGTGCGAAAACAGATGAGTCGTTTTAGGAGGATCAACAGCTGTGCTCCAAATAGACATTTTTAATCTCCACTGAAAGAAGATAGCTACTGTAGATAGTCCCTACAAATATGAGCACCAGAATTCTCCAACTGTAATCGTAATCAACAGGTCGATCGAAGAAAGTCATATCGTAATTCTTCATTTACATTTCACTTGTGTTTCGAAATCCGTGATAATTGCGATTCGTCGCAATAAATTCGTCACGGAAATATGCAGCGAGCGTCGCTCGCAAATTGAGGAAATAGATCATATGACATGGAATTTGCGAATTTAGAAATTTACTAACCGACCATAACCAAGTTTCACTTCGAAAGTTTGCTAAAACTCTCAATAAAATACACTTTGCACTGCGCAGTAAAAGTCAAGTGCAAAGGGTTAAATATTCTTAACTTGTATATAAATAAAACTCGAAGAAGAATTTCATGCAACAGCCAGATATATGCTACACTCGGCTAATTAAAAACGCGTGACGCGTATCGAAATAAAAACGATACTGTTATACCGCAGAAGTTCGCTAATCCACTTTGATGTAATTACACGGGATGACACAAACGAGCACGATGTCTGCTCTTGTGACGCACTGATACGGTATGTAAACTATGCCCACGTGGAAAAGCACGGGTTTACCTGTACATGTAGTCTCGATGATGTTTATGATCGTGCTCGACGTTCGTTTCCGATTTCGCCCACCGAATTTCAGTCACGAATCCACACATCGGAATCCGACGATAAACTCCCGCCCAACTGCACACTTCATACTTATTTTTATACTTTTATCATTCATGAGGTAACTGTAATAACGTTCTTTTTACTATCGTGGATTATTTTTTATTGGAGAATATGCGATGGACTATATGATGATTAATTAGTAAAAAGTATATTTAACTACATTTGCTATTTTACAGTTTAACTCAATTTTTTTAGGCAGTTGCAGGTAGCTATTTATTGCTACCATGTTGAGACAACTAACAAAAATTAAAATGTTAAGTAAAGTTTGTCTTCGGAGATCCTTGATTATCAAGATTAAACCCAAAATTTAATTACGGTGAAAATATTAGACTGGTGCGTCATATGAACTGTAGGGTGCGTCACGAGTGCAGTACGCAGGGCAAAGAGTTAAACAAGGTTCTAATAATTTCACACAAGGTGTCAGTAACTTTAAACAAGGTCCCAGTAATTTTGAGCAAGTTTCTAATAATTTTACACAAGGTCTCAGTAACTTTAAACAAGGTCCCAATAATTTTGAGCAAGATTCTAATAACTTTAAACAAGGTCCTAATAATTTTGAGCAAGGTTCTAATAATTTTAAACGTGGTTCCAATAATTTTGAGCAACGTCCTAGTAATTTTAAACAAGGTCCTCAATTTTGTAGTATAGTTTCCCAAATACTCAGCAGATATTTCTTACATATTTATTTTTATAAAACAGTAAAATTATTTGCAAAAATGTAAATTTTATGATAGATAAATATTATAAGTATTGTGAGGAGCTGAGGAATTTTAGGCAGTGCGATTGCACAAACGGAGCGGAAACTACGGTCTGGCCGCAACTTCCTGTACCGTTGCTTTATCGCGATTCCTCGTCCACAATTCCGATCTGAATCCCGTTGCATTCAGCGGCTTCCGGCTGGTGAAAAATCCGATGACCGGCTTCGTTAAAATTGACAAGTCGCCTGCTGTGCATCTGGAAATAGAAACCGAAGAACCATTACTCAAATTAATATCGTTTTCAAAAATATATTATTTTCTTAATAATCAGAATCATATACTGCGAATACACAATGATACTGAATTTAATATCAGTTATACAAAAAATTAAAATTAAATATGACTTCGTTTTAAACTTTTATTTTTCTTGAATGAAGATAAGAACTAAGAACGTTGAGAACAATAAAATTAAACATGACTGTGTTTCAATCTTTCAATTTTCCTAAAAGAAATCTTAAGAAATGTGCAACTAAATCTTAAAGATTATAACATCCGCATAATTTACATAACACAGAAACAATTTTATGAACGTTAAAAGTTAAACAGAGTAGTAAAATATGCATTTACACAAATTATTAGGAGTAACTCTATTAAAAAGAACGAAATTATCTGGTCGTAACAGAGTAGAAACGCGACGGTTTCTAGTTAAGCAAAAATTAGACCGGCTATAAATATTCGAAATATCAGTAGAAGTCGAGAACGAAATCGAAAGGGAAGTTTCCCGGAGCGAGCGGGAATTTCGCTGACTAGAAACGTTGTTGGCGGTGATTTGATTTCCGCTTAGTCGTTTCGCCGGAAAATTCTCAGGCAGGTTAACGAACTCGAGTACACGACACAAAATTAGTCCAACCACGCTCTGACCGAATTCAAGGCGCGAGCTTCGAAACGTGCTGGTCTCGTGACTCAAAATTATTTATAGTCCGTATTTAAGGGAAACTGGCATCTGCATTCTTTGAGTACACGTTGCTGTCCGGTCAATCTCTAATTCGATCTAAACTGCATCGATAGGTTCTGATACGTGCGCAAGAGGAGAATGAAGAGGTGCTTGGAATTGGGGAATTTGGAATTGGGGGACTTGGAATTGGGAGATATGGAATTGTCAAATGTCGAATTGGGAAATTTGGAAATGCAAGCTTAGGAATTGGGGGATTTGGAATTCCAAGCTCTGGAATTAGGAAATTTGGAATTGCATAATTTGGAATTGGGGGATTTGGAATTGGGAGCTCCGGAATTGCGAAGTATGGAATTGGGGGCGTTTGGAATTACAAGCTTTGGAATTGGGGATTTGGAATTGCAAGCTCTGGAATTGCGAGGTTTGGAATTGGGAGATTTGAAATTGGGGGATTTGGAATTGCGAGTTCTGGAATTGCAAAGTTTGGAATTGGGGGATTTGGAATTGCGAGCTTTGGAATTGGGAGATTTGGAATTGCAAGCTCCTGGAATTAGAAAATTTGGAATTGCAAGCTCTGGAATTGGGGGATTAGGAATTGCAAGCGCTGGAATTGGGAACTATGGAATTGGGAAATTTGGCATTGCAAAGTTTGGAATTGGGGAATTTGGAATTGCGATCATTGGAATTGGGGGATTTGGAATTGCGAGTTCTGGAATTGGGAAATTTGGAATTGAAAAATTTGGAATTGCAAGCTCTGGAATTGGGGGATTAGGAATTGCAAGCGCTGGAATTGGGAACTTTGGAATTGGGAAATTTGGCATTGCAAAGTTTGGAATTGGGGAATTTGGAATTGCGATCATTGGAATTGGGGGATTTGGAATTGCGAGCTCTGGAATTAGGAAATTTGGAATTGCAAGCTCTGGAATTGGGGGATTAGGAATTGCAAGCGCTGGAATTGGGAACTTTGGAATTGGGAAATTTGGCATTGCAAAGTTTGGAATTGGGGAATTTGGAATTGCGATCATTGGAATTGGGGGATTTGGAATTGCGAGCTCTGGAATTAGGAAATTTGGAATTGCAAGCTCTGGAATTGGGGGATTAGGAATTGCAAGCGCTGGAATTGGGAACTTTGGAATTGGGAAATTTGGCATTGCAAAGTTTGGAATTGGGGAATTTGGAATTGCGATCATTGGAATTGGGGGATTTGGAATTGCGAGCTCTGGAATTTGAAAATTTGGAATTGGAAAATTTGGAATTGCGAGCTCTGGAATTGGGAAATTTGGCATTGCAAAGTTTGGAATTGGGGAATTTGGAATTGCGATCATTGGAATTGGGGGATTTGGAATTGCGAGTTCTGGAATTGGGAAATTTGGAATTGAAAAATTTGGAATTGCAAGCTCTGGAATTAGGAAATTTGGATTTGCAAAGTTTGGAATTGGGGGATTTGGAGTTTGGGGATTTGGAATTGAGGGATTTGAAATTGCAAGCTCTGGAATTGGGAAGTTTGGAATTGGGAAGTTTGGAAGTGGGGAATTTCTCATTAAAAAATTCCACAGATAAATCCGAGGAATTCAGTTTCATTCGTGTAACGAGAAAATGTAAATGTGAGTAGATAATATGATAATGCAAACGAGATACGGTGTCCAATGGAATTGGGAAATGTTTACAAAGGTTTATCAAGTTAATGGCTACGATGATCGCAATTAACTGTACTTATCTAGCAACAGACCAATCGTTCAGTTCGTTTCGACCGAACAATAGAACAATGTCCGAGCCTTTTTTTCTCGTTCTATTCCCGCTGCACTCGCGATTACGTAAGAAACACTTCGATTCCATATGATCGCAAGAATACGTGAAACGATGTAAGAATATCATGCAACGCGCGTCACAGATAATTTTAATCGTTAGTAATAAGCGTGAAACGCGTGCACAGTGTATTTTCCTTGCTTCGAGCGTTTATCCACTGTCGCAATATACAATGAACTCATCGATCTAATACGTGATCCTGAATTAGCATTCGTTACCGATATCCTGATAGATAGATATTAATCGTCATAATTATCAAAGAAGAAAACTATGAAGAGTCAACGAGGAGACGAGTAATCGACCGTACAGAATCAATTAAAGTTTCATTGAACTCTGCAGTTCAATAAAAGAAGCTTCTCTACGTGAGTTCATTTCGCTACGACTCTGTGTAGCGAAACGCGGATAAATAAGCTGATTAAGGGAGCTTGATCGAACCCGTTTAATCGATACGGGCAAGCGAAAAAGGAGAGAAAGTAATAAGCGCCAGTTTACCGCGTTGACTAATTCTTGGCGGAAATGAACTTTTAACGACCGCACTTAACGCTTTACGAAAGACTACGTCGTTCTATTTTATTTCATTTTCGTTATTTGAAGGAAACAATAAATGTAGCCAGTACATTAAACATTTTAGTAATCATATGCTGGTCATCTTTCAATTTTGACGACTGACAAAATATGCATTATACAATGAAAACCTAATGAAGTTGACTAAAAGGCATAGTCAAACATTTTGACTGATCAGAGGTACATAAAGTAGTAGTTAAATTATCAAGTTCACATCGCTTTAAATTAAAGGTATAGATCAACAGGTCACTTTAAAAGTTTGACCTAAAGACATACAGACAAGAATGCAAAGCAAATTGTACTATAATATTAAATAATTGTTAACAATTCTTTCGTTAAAATGTACATGCTGCTACTATAAATAACTAATATTAAAATATATATCTATTAATTGTACATAAGGGGTGTATTTGTGTAAAATGGTTAAAGTACTCAAAGTTAGCAGAAATATGAGAATGGTATTATAGTTTGTGAAAGAAACGTTTGATGTGTTACAGGGTCTCAGCGGTGATTTGGGAGCCCGAGAAGTTCTCATTGGCGAATTGCGGGAAGCTGCCGAACCTCTGCGGGAGGGTTGCGCTGCAGAGGTCCGCGAGAAGGTCGAAGCAGCGGTAAATGAGGCCGTGCAGGCCTGGGAGGACACCAGGGCCGAATTAGATGCCCTTTGCACCAAGTATCAGCACGCGTGCAGATTGTGGCAACAGTACAAAGATTCGAGTGCCGCGGTGAAGGCTTGGGTGGACACCCAGATGGACAGCGTTGCTAACCTGCCACCTGAAGAAGCCGTCAAGCACATCAAGGTAAGTTTTCTGATTAGTGAAAGTTGGAGTCTTGAGAAGTAGGAGAATTTGGGGGGTTGGTGATTTGAGAATTTAGGAATTTGGGAATTTGGAAATTTGGAAATGTAGTAATTGGACAATGTGGGAATTTGGGAATGTGGAAATTGGACAATGTGAAAATTCAGAAATGTAGTAATTGAGCAATGTGGGAATTTGGGAATGTAGAAATTG